CGAGAAGGGCACTAAATGGGACATGGGGAAATACGAAAAAGTAGGACCTACTAGGAGCTCTTTAGATCTTCACAGGCTTGCCTTTGAAAGGAATTGTGGGAGCCTTATCTTCTCTTTCTCTCACTTCCTAGTCATGAGATGAGCGGTTTCGCTTGATCGTGACTTCTACAATCATGTACCGCCTCATCATGGGGCCCAAAGCAACACAGCTCATCACTCAGGGACCAGGTATTCAAACTTAGGTGGATGTGAAGTTGATTTTCTCTGTTTTGTTGTGTCTCTCTAATGGGGTCTTACTCTGTATCTTAGGCTGTCATTAGGCCTGAGATCCTGCTATCGTGGTCTTCGGAGAAAGGCCCGGAAGTGCAGGTGCGCACCGCCACGTCCAGCTCCTGTGCTTCTTACAGTGATAAGAAACCAAAGAGCCCAGGATTAGAGCTGGCGCCGAGACTAACATGGACGGCCAGTCTGAACTTAACAAAAAGTTGAGGAGGAGGATGCCGGAATTTATTTTAATCAAGGAAAATGGTATTGTGGCATTTCCCAGGAATCTAAGTTTACGAACAACAATTCATACTGCAACAATTCTTCGGATTTGATTAATGGGAGCATATACATCGACAGGGCAAGACAAATGCTATGTTCCAGCGGGCCAGGTTCTGAGGCTGGAAAACGAGGGCGCAGGGAACGACTGCCTCGACTTTTCAGGCAGGCGTGCTGTGCTCAGTTGCTTGCTTCACAGCCTCTCCCAGGATTTCACAACAAACCCTACTGTGCAGCACAGACGGTGCCCACTTCCTGTGTTCTTCCTCTGGGTGGAAGAAACGCCACTAATGAGGCAGGGCTCAGCTCAGATTTGTTTGATGACCGGGGAAAGCTGACTCTTCAGCCCTCCCTCTCCCCGTTTTGGCATAGGCATGCCTACTTTTTCTTTTTCTTTTTTTCTTTTTTTCACTCTGCTTCTTTGCAGCAGGAATTTCCCACAGCTCCCCATGTGGACCCAGCAACGCCAAGGCTTGTTAGGGTCCTGCATTCCCTTGCCTGTGTTGTAGGACTTGAGTGTTTGCCTGCTGGGCTGTGGCATGTAGACCTTTGCTGAGCTTGGAAATCTGGCCTCCAGTGTGGAACAGGAACAGCCTGTTCAGTGCAGGGAAGAGTGCTGTTCTATTTCAGCCAGGGGTGCCAGAAGAGAAGGGAAAATCTGCTGCTTGCCTGTTTGGCTATTATTCAGGCATGAAATCTCTTAATTTCCTCACTTTTTTAGGGGTTAATGAGCTGAGAGTTTAAGGCTAAAACATTTTTTTTTATTGTTAAAACAATGATAGCTTCATTAGTGACACCCAGGACCTTTATTTTATTCTTCAGAAGTATATGAATTACATTATGCTTTTTCCATCCATTTGTTCCAGGAGCTTGAAATGTTCCAAACAACATTTTGTGTGGATTAAACAAATTATGAACAATCCTCAAAGGGGGTGTTGGAGGGCTTGTGCTGAGTTCTTCAGCTCTAACCATCTTCAGCAAATGAGAGTTTAAACCCACGTTCCTTGGATACCCCTCGGGAATAAGATACCATCTCTTCTATAAATATATCTAACTGTGAGTTGATGATTATGGCAGAAAAACACCCAGTCAGCACAAGTTCTCTCATTTATTCTCTGTTTGTCTAACTTTCTAAAGTTTGCCTTGCATTGCTACCAGATGAATTGATCCTGATCTGGTCCAAAGATTAGGTGGCAACATGGGTGGCTATTACTTTGTGGCTCAGGGAGGAGAAATCAATAGATACTTCTTTTTCTGTATAAACAGAAATACTGAAGCTATGATGGCGTTGGCTAATGCAATTTTTTTGTCTTCTTAATGCATTAGTTGGAAATGGTTAACGATAATATCCATGGAATAGGATCACACTAAAATTTCCCAGACTGAATGTTCTTTTGCACCAGCCATGGTAGTCATGGTGATTGAGCCTATACACCTTCCTGTTCAGTTTTCTTCCTTGAGTCTCTCTATCATGTCACTATCTCATTTGTCTCTTCCTTTCTGGACTACATTGTCTAAAGCCTCGTACTCCACTCCATGTCAGGCTGGAAACCAAAGCTGAAAACAAGACTAGGAAGAAGCATCGCCCTTTGTGGGACCCTGTCCTCCCTGATCCTTGAGACCAAAATACTGGATACAAATAATGTTTACGCTAACCAGCTAAGCTTCCTGCTAGTTCCGTCCTTGGTTCTGCTACAGCCTGGTACATTAGCCTGAGGGATCTATTTTACTTTAAAATGGTAATTTCTCAACCTGCCTCAAAGAAGCTCAGGCGCCAAGGCCCATCTAACCTGTCTGACATTGCCTTGAGCCCTTGACCACCTGCCTGGGGAAAAACTCCCACAGAGGCCAGTTTCCCCAGCCCCCTCTGGGTGGGAGGAGTTTTCCTTTACTGGGGCCTTTATTCTCCTTCCTGCTTTTGTTGGGAGGAGGCCTTGCCCTTTTGATCTCGGTTTCCCACTGGTATAAATACCCGACTTGAGTTTAATAAAGTGGCCATTTACTCTTGGTAAATGAGCAAAGGTCTCTTTTTTGTGTTTGTCTGTTTTTAACCCTCAGGGCAGTCGTACATTCTCTGGGCCAGTTCGGGAAGGTGCCGCCTGGGTCGGGTGTGGATATCCACTGGAAGGCGGGTTCTAACAGCCCTTTACAACTGTGATCTACTGGGCGGCTATTTGCACTCAGTTCTCAGGATGATTAAATGCTTAAGACATGGGCTCTGCTTTCTCCAGTTGCAGAGCTTACAGGGGATCGGCAGTTGAGCAGGAAATGGGCACACCATCACTAAGGAGTAAGAAGGGCTACTACAGAATTGAAGAGAGGAAATTGTGATGTGGAAGATGTGAGGAATGTGGGTGTAGGAGACTCACCAAGGAAGGGGAATACGTGTATGGAAAGTAAATTGTTAGGCTGAGAGAGAAAAAGAATATTGCCATCACTAATAGGAGAGGACTGGATTCCATCAGGTTTCAAAGAGAGACAAAACATACCCAATAGTGTGTATTATTTCAAGAAAACTGTAAGCATCTTGGATTGAGTGGATTAAATTGTCCATGTGGCATTATGGGAAAAAGAAGCTAGGAAGGAAACAGGAATAATATGGAGGGTCCTTCACTTAGCAATGAAATAAGAAAGCGACCAGGTCCCACCAGGCAGGTCCTGTTATCATGAAAATAATCTACTATAACTGGCCAGAAGATGTAAATTTGACTGATTTTAAAAACAAAAATATCAATTATTTCCAACTTAAAGTCTTCCTAATCTATAAAGATTTCTCACCATCCTTTTGTCCATGGAGAAGTGCCTAGGGGACCCCATTTGGATGCTGGATGAATTACCTGGTCAAAGTTGTTTAAAAGAATGGTACCATCCCAAAATAAGTAAGTAAAAAGTGAAAATGTTTTTTTTCTCAAAAAGAGAAGGATCCTAGCTTGATTAGGAAAGGGTCAGAAGGACAAGATAGGCAAACAGCAAGAAATCATTTTCCTTAAAATTTCTTCTGTTCTCCAAAGTTGTTTTGACTTCATTGTTTTGATTTTTAAAGCGGTGTTTAATTAGCAAGGATGGCTAATGTTTTACGCAACCAACTTGTGCCAAGTCATTTTGCCAAATAGAGAGAACTGAGGCTGAGACTGTTGTTGTTTCGCCGCCCCTCCCCCACACCACCAAATTCTTTTTTAGCTAGAAGGTCCTCTAATAGGCTGAGGAAATTTTGAATAACCTAGACCGTTGAGAGCATTTGGAAAATGGCATAGTCATCACAGTCGTCAGTAACTGCCCATGACTTTGCTACTTAGAACTGTACTCAGCCTTGGTCTTTGGTTGAGACAGAAGAAAGTCTGTATGAGTGGTCTGAACAGATCGGAACATCTAAGAAGGTGCTAGGATGTTCTTGATATGATGTGACTGCTTAGAGGAAGCTCAGCTTCCTTTGCCAGTTAGAGTTTGAACTTGGGGTTTATAATACGTGAGCGTCTAATCCACTCTTTCTCACTTCTTAACTTCCCTGGGTAAGGTTCCATGATGTGCAGAGTTGTTACCCCCATCTTGGGAAAGTCATGGGCTCAGTGATGGAAAATTTCATGTTATGGTTATCCTAATGCATTGGATGATGGTGCAATGATCAAAAAAGATGCCAGTGATGACAATTGAACGTCCCTTTGCCTTCCCAGCCTCCTTCATATATTCTCAGGCATAGGATGACAAAGGGAAGTCCACGAGTCACATGAAGAAGGACTGTTGTAGCCATGGTACACGGTCAGGAGCTCCTTTGCTTGCCTCCCTCTGCCTGCCCCCTCCTAGCCGTCCTCTCTACTTCCTGCTCATGCTGTTTCTCCAGTGTCTTAGCCGCTGACCGGAAGTCTCTCCCCACCTATGTCCTGATTGATGACTCATTCAAAGCAATGATTAACCAGTCCTGGACACAGTGAGTCCTCAACTAGGTGCCGAATGAAACAATGCTTTCAAAGGTAGACAAGTTTTAGGGAGTCTCTTCTTAAGTGAGCTAATGTTTCGCATGTCGAAGAATGGGGTAGTAAAGATGTGGGAATCACAGCAGTCTAGGTATACACCCAGGTGCCCAAGTAGCTAGGCATAAGATTAAAGGTATAACCTATCTGAGATATCATTTTATAACAATAAAAAGTCATGTGGCTTCTACCTTGGATGGATTTGTCAAGTCTTAAGAGAGACAGTATATAGTCTCTGGATCTTGAGTAAATGCTACCTTTCTTTTACTCATATCTTAGAGTGCTGCTAAGCTGTTCTAGGAGGCATCTTCAGGGTGACATGGATAAAGGAATCACTAAACCCCGGTGGGGATGGATGTCTTAGAAGAGATGAGCAGAAGTCAGGAGGGTGATGCGGTTAGGCATTTTTAAGGAAACGATAGCTTCTAAGGTTAATTTTCTTGCTTGGGGTTTAAGAGGAAATTCAAGGTTCTTGTTAATTATACTTACCAATTGGGTCTAATTGGCAACTACCCCAAAATGAATAAAACAAGCGGGAGTCAAGAGAGAAAAACGGCAGGCATCCTGTCAAAAAACAAAAGCTTTGAAATTTCTACAACCCAATGGTCGGATACACATTTCATCAAAGCAGATGGACCACCCAGTTTGTGTGAGTCTCTGCATGTGCAATCCTGCACATGCAGAGCTGGGCCAAGTATCCTACGAGTTCTTAAAATCAAACACTAGCAGATTCATACCAACAGGCCTTCTGCTGGTGGAAACATATTTTTGTCCTGTTCCCGTCGAGATTAGTTATGGAAGGTGAAGGGATCGCTTTACACTCATATTGCATCTTAGTATTGGCGACACCCAGTGTTGCTGGCTGGTGTATCAGGTAAAATGATAATTATGACTCTTTCCGCTCTGTGCCTTCCAGGACAGGACAAGAAGCAGATTCATGCCTATATTGTTTCTTCCTTTTAGAAACATTTCTGCGTTTTTTGTTTGATTGTTTTTTTTTAAAATGTTCCATTGCCAAACATTAGCTACATATGAATTACATTAGCTGATCACATGCTAATCTTCTTGATTTGTTACTAAGCATGAACAATGTTATTTACTAAGGATTCTCCTTCTGCTCTTTCTCTTTCATTGGCTAGCCAGAGGGTTGTCTGTGTCTCCAATGTCTTCTCTCACTTCAGTATGTCAGGTTTCCTACTGAGCTGGCTTTTGTCCCTCTCACCCAGGAAAGACATTCAATGGCAAATCCTGTCTGGGGAGATCTCACTGGTTAAGTAAGCCTGTTTTTGGCTAGGTGGCTCAAACAGCACCTGCTGTCAAATCCGTGCTTAAGGGAGCCAGCCTGCCTTTGCCTTCCTGAAGCTCTTGCCCTAGAACAACATATAGCAGAATTCCAGACCTCAGATTCTTAGGTCTGAGCTAGACTTCTAGAGAAGCCTTAGGTTGTGGCAGTTGCTGGGAATAATGGAGAGGAACGGATGGTTGGTGAAAGGCACTGTGTTCCTTTTCATGGGTCGTCACTGAGCCATTCCTCAGGTCCACCAGCAGATAAAACCGTGTTGTTATAGTAGTGAACACATGGAAAAAAAACCATAAAGCAGTATCCCCTAAAGCCCAGGATGAGGGTTGCTTCCTTTAGATTCTCCTCTGTTCATAAAATAGCAATCCAAAAATAACAATGTCACGTTTCCCAGTGCATCCATAATTAGTGTGCTTCTGAGGACACAAATTCAGCTAACAATTGTGTGTAGCAATCAGACCACTTGTTAATACTATAAGCAAAGCTTCTAATAGATAGCAACTACACCCACCCCTTCCAGATATTTATTATAAGTATTATGGATGGAACTGAGCAATTCATAAATATATATTAAAATTAAATAAACCTCGCTTTTTACATCTTTCCTGAAGAGTGAACCACCGGTTGGTATTTTCAATCTTTTCTTTCTCTCTCTATATAAACTCCTCATGAAGAAAAATCTCAAAGGCTGCTATGCTAAAGGCCAGGGAGGTACTATAGTTAAAAACTGGAGTGTCAAGGCAAAGGGATGCAGTGATCATGTCCCCGGTTGTCTTGAACCCTCTCCCCCAAAGACACGGTAGAGAGATGATGAATGAGAAGATGGGGAACAAAAGACTAGAGATTTTGTGCCCAAACAGGATCGAGCCCACAAGTGCTCTGTTGGTGTGTGTTGTTGAACTGCACAGAGAGGTTTTTTTGTTGCCCCTGAATTCCTAGGACATTGTTCCCAAACAGAGACCATTCCTCAAACTAAGATAGCAACATGCTGCTGAGCAGGGAATGGCAGGCTGCATGTAGTTTAGGTTCAGGCAGAAACTAACTTTGTCAAGTCAGTTCACTGTGAATTCAAAAAAAAAACCTTAAGGTTTCTCTAAGTGACTTTTCTATATAAAGAACAAAAGTAGTGAGGTAGATGAGATTTACAGAACATCTATATGTCTGTGCATACCACACACACACACACACACACACACGCACGCACGCGCACACACACACACACACACACACACACACACTCATACTGTACTATTTATGTTCTGGTTCTATATTCTACTTTAGTTTTTCCCTAAGACTCTCTGTTAGTAAAAGAAGGAGTAAAACATGCATGCTTCTACTTATGGGTTTAACGATTTATATGTTCTAAAAAATAGCTTGAAGTCACATGTCCTCATTCATGTTTGCCCCAGAAAATTTCCCTGTGCCATTAGAGGAAACAATTTAAGAAAAATGAGACAAGGTTCAACTCTATGTACTGCACCAAATTTCTGCCTATTGAAAGCTTTTACCTGTGTGGCATGTAAGGGTACTGGCCCCATTGTGCCTTTCAAATCTTGCCTGGCAGGCATCTGCATGAATATTCTATCCAGAAATGTTTTTGTCGGAACTGCCACTGTACTTTATATCACAAAGGGCACAGGGCACTTGCTGTTCTATAGTGCAGCCTCTGCACACACAGCCAGCCCTTCAGAACAGGCTGGTACAGGCGTGGGCTCAGATCTAGACTTCCTGGGTCTGCCACTTAGTAGCAGCCTGACCTGGGGTCCATTCCGTGGCCTCTCTGCTTTAGTTTGCTTACTAAAGAACAGATGAAGAACTCTTGTAGAGATTAGATCAGCTACTCCTTGTAAATGATGTAGAGTAGGACTCGATCAACACAAGGTTTTGTTGACTTCTTTGGAAGACTAAGTTCTGCAAACACAAAGCTATGCCTTATGTACCTTGCCGCCTCCACAGTGCTTTCTGTAGTGCAGGCACTCAGGCAAATTTGTAGAGTAAAAGTCCCAAAGAAGCATTGTCATGGGAAAATGGAATGGTGCAATCGCTGTTTATTTTAAACCATAGGAGGTTCTGCCACATTTTAAAAAAGTGAAGACATTCAATATATATTTTGCGTGCATAGGAAATATCTTTAAATTATAGTGAGGTAAAGAGTATATTGGAGACTTTGCTACAGTGAGCGTATGGGCAATGTTCAACATGAAACAGCTGATGAATGGGCTGCAACTTAATGGGGAGAGAGGGAACTGGACTTTGGGGTACCCAGAAGTGTGATGAAAGAGAAATGACTGCCATATTCCCCTCTTGGTAGAGACACAGATGTAGGGTGCTTCCAGTCTCCCCACTGAAACAGGACATCTATTTATACTTTAGTACTGGGAACATGTTTAGACTCTGCTGTAATCTGTCAAATCCAAATCAGAAACATGTTGTGTGATCTGATTTTAGTTATTATTAAATACAAGCATGAAATTTGTTACACTGGTATCATAATTTTTATATAAGTTTCATATGTGACTTGAGAATATTGTTCCTGTGTCTGTAGCCAGCCTCTCTTTCCTTCAGCTCCCTGACTGGACTCTTTGCTGATTCTTTGTTTCTAAGACAAAACCAAGACTGCATGGATCAGAGAAGAGGTATTTTGAATGCAGTGATGCAGGTTCCCATTTACTGGCCGGGTATGATGGGGATCACCCTAGAGCTAAAGGATACGACAGTTGAAAGAACAATTTAAAAATAACACACAACATTAAATCTACAGTGGACAGTGGCGTGTTGTAGTTAGGATTTTTGCCAAACAAGTAGGTTATGGCTATCCATCCTAAGGAGAAGATGGGGAACTATGTGATATGGTTTTAATATAGATGTGTCTAATAATTCTACTTTGTACTCCTTAATTATACATAATATCTATTTTAAAACATGGTATGTATATGTTCAGGGAAGGAAGGTGTCAAACTCTTGTGTTAAAGGGATAGGTGTACTACATCCAAAGACTTATTCATATACTCTCTTGCAAAAATTGTCTCTGTGTGCTGTAAAACTCAATACTGGCTAGTTTTATGCCAGTTTGACACAAACTGGAGTCACCTGAAAAAAGGGAGCCTCAATTGAGAAAATGTCTGCAGGAGATCCCACTGGAGGGCATATTCTTAATTAATGATTGATGGGGAGGGCCCAGCCCATTGTAAGTTGTACCATCCCTGTGCAGGTGGTCCTGGGTTCTATAAGAAAGTAGGCTGAGTAAGCCATGGGGAGCAAGTCAATAAGCAGCACTCTTCCATGGCCTCTGCACCAGCTCCTGTCTCCAGGTCCCTGCTTTGTTTGAGTTCCCATCCTGACTTCCTTCAAGTGTTATGGAAACAAAAGCCAAATAAACGCTTTCCTCTCCAAGTTGCTTTGGTCATGGTTTTTCATCATAGTATTAAACTTAGACAAAACATCAAGACGTCTTAAGGGCAAAAAATGTAGGTATCACTTCCTGCCTTTTGTCTCTCATCTGGTTCACTGTAAGTACTATTTATCTATGATTCTAAGTATCCTAGAATACTTATGGCTTTTGTATAAGCATATGAGTATAAAATTTCAAAATGTGATTATAGTAAACAAATAATTACATTATAGGATAGACTTTAAAGATTAACTTTAGATATCTTAAAAGATACCTCTAGATAGCTTTCTATATGAGCCTGAACAGAACTATTTCACTATCTATAATAATTTGAGTATTTTACTACATGTCTCTATAATTTTTTGTATCAATGAGTAATGGTTAGGTTATTTCTGTTTTGTTACTGTGAGCAATATTATAGTAAATATATACAAAGTAAATTTATAGTAGTGAAATTGTAGACTCAAAGGTTTTGTGCACATAAAAGGATGGTAGAGCATTGTTAAATAGGGTTTCCACATTTACACATGTAACAAAGATGTTATCAGTTCATATTTACGTAGTATTTATTGACATAAGTTTACCTTGAGCTTTGATTTTTACCAATTTGATTGATATAACTTTTTCATTGTTGAATGATGTTAAATCTTTATCTCCTTCCATATGACTTTCTTATGCATATGTCTTGCTCAATTTCAAATAGGGTGTTAAACATTTTTCTTTTTGATTTATAAATACTTTGCATATTATGGAAATTGGCTCATTGTGATAGTTGTAAATATAGTATTCATTTGGCTGTCTTTTGAAATTTTTTTCTAATGGAATTTCTAAGCATTTGTTTTCTGTAAAACCCTGCCTTGTGTTAATGTAAAA